CAGACTGATCCAGGCAGCAAATGAAGCAAGAGCTCAGATTACCAAATGGACTATTGTCAGGGTCATTCTCAGGGGTGAGTTAGGGAGGGAAAAAATGAAAAAAAGTAAATTCACAGAACATGGTTGCAGCATTGAGATATGATCTTGAAAAGGAGAGAACAATTGTCATCAGTAACAAGTTGAGAAAAAGACACACCAAGAAACCAATTTGAGTGGAAATTGCAATAAGTCTGATTGCTGCCTCGTCCTATTGTCTTGAGTGGCGGCTGCACGCTTCTGAAGCTGTCTGCTTGATCCATAGGTCTGTGTTTTTGCTTCTGGGAGCTTGTGGTTAGCCTCAGTTTGGGGTCATTTTTGTGAGCAGACTCATTGGTCTGGGTTTGTAGCCTTTTTCTACTGTGACTGGTGAATACGTGGGTCAACACCTCAGAGCTTGACTGTCCTGGCAGTTGTCAGGAGAGGTCTAAAACCTTGATGTCTCTTCTAGCAGATGCAGTCACCAGGCTGGAGGTTGGAACAAGTTGGATGGTATTCCCTTTGGGCACAAGACTTTAATGTTGACCTAAAAAAGAAAGGAGTCCAAATACATATAGCAAGGGTTTATTGAGCCAATATGATGATTGCAACCAGAGAGACATACAGATCAGGTCACTCTGAGAAATGTGTTCCAAAGAGGGCCAGCAGAGCTTAGCATTTTATAATCACAAGAAGGGGGAAGGGTCAAAGGGGAGAGAGAGAGAGAGGACAGCCCCACCCAATTACTTCAGGTTTTCTATTGGTTGTACATGATGTATAGATTTGGGATTGCTACTAGGTCACATCCTACATGCAGGGATCTAGGGTAAAGGTTTCCATACCATCCCCAAATCATGAACACTCTGTATAAACATTTACTCTTTTGCCTTGAGTCGGGGCTGTAAGCTTAGTCACTGGGTTAAACCTCGCATCAGGCAGTGGAGCACTTTTGGCGGGTGCATGACAGTGTTTCCTGCACAGGAAATGGCTTCATCCTTTTTAAAAGAAGAGCCATCGTGTGCAATATCAAACACCAGGGTCACCTAAAGGGCTGGCTGTGAGGTTGGACTTTGGCATAATTAACTCTTGAGTTTCTGCTAAATAATCTGGTGGTGGACTTTCATCCACAAGAGGGAATGTGGGTGCTGGCTTAGGATATGAGTTATGTGGAACGCGAAATGACAGAAACAGTCAGATGAGCAGTCTGGAAGTAACGAGGACCACAGAGCATACAATCGAGTTCTGGGGACAGCAGACACCATAGGGGGAGAGATTACAATTATAGAAGCTGCCCTGCTTTTGCCTATAAACAAAGGGGGTGACTTAGCCCTGGATCAAGGGACAGTTGAGATCGGCCAGGGACTGCTGGTGTTAGCAGCTCTGTGAGTTAGCACTCGTAAGTTATCTTGTCTTTCACCAACGAGCCCAGAAAAGGGTCTGGCAGAGTGGGGAGTACGCAAAGCTGAGAGGCTGTCTAAAGAGGAAGGCTCTTCCACCTCGGCACCCCATGAGCAGTGACCACTTCAAGACTGTGGCCCTAGGAGTTGTGTCTGGTAAAAGTTACCAGGCCAGGTGGCCAGGTCAGCACTGAGTTGAGAGACGATGGTGGCCTGGATCAAAGTGGTAGCAGCAGGGGTGGTGAGAGACATTGGATTCTGGCTGCTGTGAAGTTATGGTCAACAGGTTTGCTAGTGGCAGGCAGTGGGGCTGAGGGGCACAGAGGACTCAGAGAGTGCAGGAAGAGCTTTGGCCAGAGCAGCTCGATGAGTGGAGGTGGCCTCTCTGAGATGGGCGAGACTGGGAAGTTGAACAAGCTGCAGGAAATACATCCCACAGGTCATTCGCTCACGCAGATACTGCTTAGTGAGTGCTTGCCCCATGCCCGGCGCCCTCTGGGAAGCCAGGGACCCAGCAGTGCAGAAACCCAAAGTGCCCACTCTCATGAAACAACAGGTGACAATCAGGTGAACAGAGAGTGGCCCACAGGTGCACGCACCCCTGCACCTGAGAGCCCACAGCAGACATCCGAGGGAGCTGGGCCACACCAGGGGCACACCCCTTTCCTGGAGGTCTCCACATCAGTGGGCTGATCAGCAGGGAGGAGGACAGGCTGGAAGGCATCTCTGCCGCCTCCCAGCCCAGATCCAAATGTGGGGTCTGGCCCCAGTGATGACAGGAAAGGCCAGAGCACAGCTGAGCCAAAGAAGGTGGGGGTCAGAGGGAGGCTGGGAGCCATGGTCGTGGCCCGCCTCCAGAGGCCACTGTCCCTGGCTTGTCTTTCCAAACCCCCCAGCAGCAAGGGGGATCTGAAAGACAGAGAAAGGCCGGCACTGAGCATCAGGTTGCACCTTGCTTCTCCAGATTCTCAAATTTAAAGAAGTGAAGCAGGACAGAGATGGGCAGGCCTTCTCCCAGGTGGACCTCAGTGGCATGTCTTGCAGACCTTCGTGGCACATGAGAGAGAGCAGGAGAGATTCCCACATACTCCCCAGGGTTCCTGCCCTCCCTGGGAAAAGGGGTGGCAAGACGCTGGCGGTCCCCACCCCCGAAGCCAACACTGTGCGTGGCAGCATGGGCACCAGGTGCCAGTCTGAGACTCATGTGCCTTGCAGAAATAATCGCATCTGACCCTCCTGACATCCTCAGGAGGTACTGTCATCCCTGTTTTCTAGATGTGGAAATGGACACCCAGAGAGGTCCTGGCACTTGCCTCAGGGCCACACACGTTCCCTGTGCCGGGCGGCCCCTCCATTGCTGAAAGGTGTCAGAGCTGACCCGGCTTTCTAATCATTTGTCCTGAAACTGGATTGTGGACCTTCTCTTAAGAGATGGTGCTGCTGCCTGCCTGTCACTGATACTCTTTGCTTGAGCCTGATCCCCCCATCCCTGGCAAAGTAGAGCACACGTAGGGGCTTGTGCATGGATTTGTGGGGGCAGGGGTCCCTGGGAGCAGGAGGGGGGACTGGGCTGGTGAACAGGGACAGGGGAAGGCTGATACAGCAGATCCCATGAGGATGACCAGGCTCCATCCCACAAGGACCCTCTAAGGACGTGTGGGGACGTGTCCATCTGAGAGGAGGGAGAAGAGAGAAGTCGTCACAGGCCTCCAGGGGTCAGAGGTTGCCCCGGGGGGTTACCTTCCTGCTCCTCCAGGTGCACAGGCAGCAGAGGCGGGTTCATGTGACACGCTCCCCTGCCTTCCCCATTGCCCCCTCCCATGGCTCCCCCGTCCTCTCCCGGGGCTGGCAGGGAAGCTGCCAACTCCCTCTCCCTCGCCTGTGAGTACACGTGCCTAATAGGCATGCGTGTTGGTGGAAACTCAGCACAGTAACATGCAAAGTGCTCAGAAAGGTAATTGCCAGGAACGGAGGGAGAGCTCTGGAAGTGCCCATTACCATGGTAGGGTCTGAGTCCCACCACCCGGCCCAGCTGTTGGTCCTGAACCTTCAGTACTCTGGCTGTGTGCCCTCCACAGGCTTCCCACAACCCACCCTATAATCTAGAGTCCCTGGTCTGCATCTTCCCGCTCTCTTCCCATAGTCGCGGTGACCTTCTCACGTTCCCTGAGCTCACCAACCTCACGACCTCCACACTTGCACTCCTCTGCCGGGAGGGCTCCTCCCCAGCTCCTCCCCACCCTGCCCTCCTCCCACCACGTCCTATTCACAGGCAAGACCTCAGACAGACACCCCAATTAACCCCACCCCAGTGCTGCAACCCCCACCCGTCCTCCTTCCTTCATCGCCTGGAGTTGTGCTATTATAGAGTTCCTGGTTGGCTCACTTGTTTTGGAATCTCCCTGCTAGAATGATGTGCCAGAAGCATGGCCTTCATCTGATTTGGTCACCACAGCATCCACATGGCGGAAAGTGTCCGGCACATAGCAGGTCCTCGTATAAGTCTGCTTAGTCTGCCATAACAAAGTGCCACAGACTGGGCAGCTTAAACAACAGATATTTGTTGTCTCACAGTTCTAGTGGCTGGAAGTCCAAGATCAAGGTGTCAGCAGGGCTCTTCCCTCTGGAGACCAAGGGGGATCTGTCCTCACCTCCCTCCCGGCTTCCAAGGGCTGTGGCCAACCTCAGCGTCCCTCAGCTTGCATCACTGCCATCTCTGCCTCCATCCTCACATCACCCTCTTCCTGGGCGTCTCTGTGTCCCAAATATCCCTCTGCCTGTCTCTTAGAAGGACACCTAGCATGAGATTTGGGGCCAACTCTAAATCCAGGATGATCTCATCTTGAGATCTTTACCTTAATTACATCTTGTAAAGAGCCTTTTTCCAACAAAGGTCATGTGCACGGTTTTCAGGTGGACATAAGTATTTTTGGAGGGGTGGGGACACCATTCAGCCAACTAGATCCACTTTATTACTAGGGAGCAGGGGGGGTTCCTGCTCAGACTTCTGGCCTGGCTCTTAGTCCCAGCCTAGGCCAGTCCCTGACCTCTCATACGTCAGTCTCCTGACCTGGAAACACAGGCAAGGAGCTCATGCACATGTCTGCTGTGAAATGAAACGTGTGCTTTAGATGGTGTTGGGTGAGACCAGCTCTCAGTGCCTACAGCTTTGTTAATCGTGCTGACATCATCCGAACACCGGCCACAGACACCTGCTTGTCCCAGACTCCCCAGGCCTGGGTGTGAGATGGTGGCTGCAGGCCCAGGTCTGGTTTCCAGCCAGCCCAAGAGACAAGGTGCTACTGTCACCTCTCCATGCCGCACGGTTCTCCTGCTTTATCCTGAGCCATGAGAGGCTGACGCCATAGAGCACACAGACCATCAGATGTGAAAGAGGACACTGAAGCTCTCCCCTGGCCTCAAACCCTGAGCCCACAGAGCCTCACCTGTGCTCTGTGGCTGCCAAGATTTCCAGGTGATGTGCAAGCCCCTCTCTCATCTTGTGTCTTTGCAGAGCGTGTCAAGAAGACTGCAGGTACCACCGAGCAACAGAGAAAGCACCCACCAGCTCTGAACAGGAAATAGCAGATGTCTAAGATGCACAGGTCTTGGGCCCACAAGAGGGAAAATCCATTTCCTTCCCAACACCACCCAAAACAAGAGATGAATTTCTTCCAGCAACAGCCACCCGCATTTGGCGCAGCACCAAGACAAATGATGTTTCCCCCTAACTGGCAGGTGGGAGAGAAGGACCCTGTTAACCTCGCCCAGGACTTCAACTTTCTGACATTGAACCAGCAGCCGCCAGCCAGGAACTGGAGCCAACAGTGGGAAAAGGTAAGTCCAGTGGAGGAATGTTCCGAAAGGGCATATTCTGGCCAGCAGCACAAGTGGCTGGTGGGTAAGCCCACCATGGTAATAGATCCGTCCAGTCTGCCTCAACCTGCACAGCACAGCTGGGTACCCAGCTCCCATGGTCACGTCCGACAAGTCCCAGGGACATGTAGACTGCAGCTGCAATGAGCCTCTGAGACATGGGTCTGGGGGCTTCTCTTCTATGTACTGGGGTCTTCTTCCTGGGAGCTTTTCCTCCAGCTACCACTGCTGCTGTCACCATAGCCAGCCCACCCCCACTCCTCACCTCCCCCAGCTCTGAAACCCAGGGCCCAGCACCCTCCTCCCTCTGGCTGGGAGCCTCCACCTATAGACATCCCTCAGCCCCTCCTCTGGCAGGCACGCCCGCAGCCAGGTCCTCCAGCATCAGCAGACAACAGGCCTCCCTCCATAGGAGCAGAACAAAGGGACACAGCCGAGGCCCACCCTTCCACTTCTCATGCATCCTGTCTGCAACCCAACTTCGGGAGCTGCACGATTCCCAAGGGCAGTGGGAGCCCTGTCAGAGGCTGAGGTGGTGACGTCTGCTCTGCCTTCCCCAGGAGCCTGAGAACAACCTGTTCAGCCATTACGAGCAGAGGGTGCGCCCCTGCATCGACCTCATCGACTCCCTGCGGGCCCTGGGCGTGGAGCAGGACCTGGCCCTGCCCGCCATCGCTGTCATTGGGGACCAGAGCTCAGGCAAGAGCTCTGTGCTGGAAGCTCTGTCGGGAGTCGCTCTTCCCAGAGGCAGTGGTAAGCGTGGATGGGAGGGCCAGCTTTGCTCTGCAGCGAGCAGCAGCCACCTGCAGGCCACACTCAACTTTGGGGCACCAAGTGGTTGCAGAAACAGGCTGCTAGGAGGCCCAGGTGGACAGCTCCCACGGGCCTACACGGCCTGATTCCCATTCCCATTTAAATTGCCATTGCTTCCCGAATGAGCCAAGGCCTGCAGGACTTTGCTAGTTCTTTCTAGTGGTCTTTGTAAGAGCCTAGAAGCCTTTCTTCTTTGATCAGGTTAAATTGGCAAGTTTCAGGTGACACATGATGCCTTTTTAAATAATGTTCTCAATGCTTTGAAAAGCCATTAGCAAGGATTATGCTGTAAGACAACACAGCAGTGTCCTTTAAAAAAAACTTTTCAATGTGTGTGTACAGTGCAGAAGCTGCTGTACGTTTATAATTTGATAAAACAATTATAAAGGAAAAAAAGGAAATAGATGGAATCTCCAAAGTGGGCACTTGAAAGGGTTAGTGAAGGGGTTTTTACAGTGGGGCTGGCACGGAGAGGGGCTGGCGGAAGGGGAGCAGGGAGCAGTATTCAGGCCCTGACGGGAGCAGAGGCACAGAGGGAGCCCATCCTGCCTTCCCCTGGCTCCCTCTCCTGCCAAAGCTGCTCACCATCACATGCAACCAGAACCCAGGGCCAGGATACCGATGCAATCCCTCCAGGGCTGTCCTGGGCACAGAGCAGGGGGGGGCCACTGGAGGGCTGCCCTGACCCTAAACAGGCCCCAGCAGCAACCACAAGGCTAAGGAGCCCCAGCCAGGGGCCCCACCTTGCCACAGGAAGCCTGGTCCTTTACTCCAGAGTGTCCTGTGAGATCCTCATCAGCCCGAGCACCTGACCCAGGAGACATTAAAAATCTGGGATGGTCATTCCTCATCTATGCTCTGAGTTCAGTATTTTGGGGAAAGAGACAATAGGGAAGAGAGTCTGAACACCAGGGGGCAGGTGTGGGACCCTGGGCAAGTCTCTGGAGAAGAGGATAACACCTCCCTTTCGGGGCAGGAGTGTGGCCTGGGGCTCCCAGCCCCAAGAAGCTCAGCACAGCTCCAGCCTTCCCAAGCTCCAGCCACATCTAGAGGCTCCTACCTCAAACTGCACCCTTAGAATTTCCTTTGAGCCCCTCTTTTGGGTGCCCAGCTTCTCCTCCAGGTTCTTGCCACCTTCTCCCCACATCCTCCAATCCTGAGGTGGGGGAGCAACGGGAGTGGGAAGGTGGCCCCCTGGTGGGTCTCATGCCTCACACTCCCTCTGCCCACCCTTCCCTGAGCTGCCCGCCCAGACAAATGCAAGCCTGGGGCAGACACCGAGGTGTGACTCCAGCCCAGGAACACCAGGAGCCTGGAGATGCACCAGAGCCCCGATATCTCTTGAGTCACTTACAGAGCAGCAAGGTGGAACTGTGGCCACAGCCAGCAGGCACCCACTCAGTGACCACCTGAGCCCAGGGCACTCTCTACAGCTGCAAACGCTTCCCAAGGACAGCAGCATCCTGAGCCTCGAGCTCCTTTGCACGTGCCCAATCCAGAACCTCCTTCGCTTACTTCCAGCCCCAGAAAGGGCCAGAGAGTTCAGACAAGGCCTTTGGGGACACTGGGGCAGGTCCTGGGAGGTAAGCAAGTGTGAAGGGAACAGCGACACTTCTTTTAAAGGAAACTTAGGATGTTTGGGGAACTGTATCTCAGGAATTGTGACCAGGTGTCCGCTGGTGCTGAAACTGAAGAAGCATCTGCAGGAGGATGGGTGGAAGGGGAAGATCAGCTACCGCCACACAGAGCTCCTGCTGCAGGACCCCTCCCAGGTCGAGAAGGAGATACACAAAGGTAGGCCTGCGCGGCTCCTGCTCTTCACCATGTCCCTCCCCGTGGTGGCAGCTCTACCCCCAGACATGTGCACTCCCTGCAGGGGCCGTGCCCACTGGTGCCACCTCCGCCATTCCTCCAGATCCTCGTCCAAGTCACCTCTCATCCAGTTGATACCAGAGGAGAGGGTCTGGGAAAGCCCAATAGCCAGCCTCAACCCACCCCGTCCTCTAAATGTTTCTTGACTTCACCAGAAAAAAGAATTCAAGAGCAGAGTCACGGTAGAAAATGAAAGCAGGTTTAATGTAATGATGAGAGATACAGACTTCACAGGGAAAGTGCAGCCCAGCTCCAGAGACAGCAGCAGTTGCACCAAATTTAATATAAAAGTAAGAACTAGGCACTTCACAGACAAAGGGTGGATGGTTCCAGAGTGAACAGCAGCCTGCTAAAGACAAGTTTAACACAAAGTAAGAAATACACACCTCAGGGGAAGCATGGACAGCCTGCAGAGAGAGTGAGTAGCGGCCCAGCCTTCTTCCCAGATTCAATTTTTACAGTTTCTCTTTCTAATATATATTCATGCTATCTAATGAATATTCAGTTAAGGGGCTGGTTCCCAGTTATATTATCTAGTCCTGCATGTGCTCAGTTGGTTCCTTTCAGAGCATGCCCATTGGTCAAATTCCATCACATGCACCGAATACATTTAAAAATATTCAGTGCTCTCCAGCGCCCCCAGTAGAAGGTCATTCAAAGGATAAATTCCACTTTACTGAGCATGCTCAGCACACACAAGAGTTGTATAAGTCTGCTCCTGTAGGTCTCAATTTCCCCATGTTGGTGCCAGAAATAGGTGTAATGAGCAGCAATGACTCTCTTCCAGGGGAGGGCCTAGAAGAGGGCCTGAGACCAAGGGGGAGGGACTTGAAACTCAGAGGTGTGTCATGAAACCTGAACCCAGGGAAACAGAGCACCTCCTGTCTCACAGTCATTTCCCTGCTAAAGACCCTCGCTGCTTCCCCTAGTGACCCTGCAGACACATGCCTGACTTCACCCCATCCTCTCCGTCTCCTCCCCAGCTTGGGGCTTCCTGCCTACACAGGGGAGCATGCCCTCTCTTCCTTCTAGGCTTTTCCATGCTCACCCATGGACTTGCATGCTTTCTCTTCCTCTCTGCCTGCCTAATTCCAACTCATTCTTTGGGTCCCAGTTTACCTGCTCTTCCTCCTAGAAGCTCCACTCCCCCCAAGCCTGTAGGCAGGACCCCCATCCTCCCCCCAGCCATGCCTCAGCCCCGGATCCAAGCTGCTTCTCTCTCCTGGTCCTGAGGCAAGGCTCTGAACCTGGCTGGCCATCTTGTGGAAAGCCTCCACCCAGACCCCCCCCAAACACAGGCCCTACTTACCCATCTCTCCTAAAAGCACAGCCAGCAGCTGGCTGTTGAAAAAAAGCTTATCAGTGCTTCTTCTTGGCAATGGCAAAATCATAAAAAGATTCCACTGCTCCTAAAGTCCCCAGCCATGCCCCCTCAGACCACACAGCCCTAACTGCCCCCAACCCTGGAGCCTGCTCGTGCACCCCTGTGAGACTTCTCACCCTCCTGCTCTCACTGCCCATCCCTGGGCTCAGCCAGGACAGGCAAAAATTAACCCTGAATATACTGAGAATCTCTGCAGCAACAAACTCAGTTCAAGGGAGAGGTTTTCTGCAGTACTGAATAGCAAACTCAGTATCTGAGCGGGAGGCCTTTAGGTGACCTCCCGGGCTTAGCCCTTCCCAAGACCCCCTGTCTGCCTTAGTCAAATGGCTCTTCAGAGGAATCCCTTCCAAAATTGAGAAGTCTTGCCCCAATTTTAGTGTTCACCCCTTGAATATAGAAGCTGCCAGGGACCACAGCTAAGACATCTTTGTAACAGCATCTTGGAGCCCGTCTGCTTCTGGCAGGAGTGAAAGTTGGTGCAATCACCTTGGAGAACTGACCATCTCCTCCAAAGCTGGAGGTGTGAGCACCCTACAACTCTCCTCACCTCCACTCCAGCATGTGTGCACCAAAGGACAGGCTCTAGCATGTTCATAGCAGCACTACTGCCATAGACCCAAATGTCCACCAACAGTAGATTGGATCAGGACATGAATACATGGGCGCAGCATGGAGTAACACACAGCAACACGGTCCTCAGCTCTGAGCAACAATATGGGTGAATCCTACAATGCTGAGCACAGAAGCCAGGGGCAAAGGGGTGCATAATTTATGATGCCATTTATAAACAGATGGAACCCCATGAAATCACTGTTCTTGCATGTCAAAAATGGTCACATATCAGCAATTTTACTTGGCTGAACCAAGTGGAGAGTACACAAACAAGCAGAAGTGATGGATCCCATTAGACATCAGGACAGCAGTCACTCCTGGGGGGTGCGGTCAGTGACCGGCAGGGAGTGCAAGGGGCCACGGGAGGCTGGTCATGTTCTGTTTCCTGTGGGTGTTGTTGCTGGTATTCACCTGTGAAAATCATGGCACTGCACACTGTGACAATGGGTACATTCCTATCAGTTTGTCACACTGCCGTAAAAAGTTTCAGATATCATGCTTTAAATAGTTGTTATGAAGTGATACTTAACACAGGAAGGATTTGCAAGGAAGTAACCCTGGTTTCAACTCTCTCTGAAAGATTAGGCAATTGACTGGGGCTGTTGCTTGGGCCACTTCCCTGTTCCTCCAACCTGGGCCACTCCCGAATGTAGGTGAAATATGCAATTCCCTGCAGATTTCATTTCTGGTGCTCCAGAAAGACACCACAGCTTTTCTTCTCAACTGAGGCTCAGCATCCCACCTGTAGAGAATCTACTCGGGTCCTCCGGTGCAGGCACTTTGGTAACTTGCAGTGTCAATAGTGCCTCTAAAGTCACAATGGCACAACCTTTCCAGGGGCTCTTTAACTAAAGCTTTGGATTCTATCAAAATGGATGGATCCTCTCCCCAGTCCCACAGCCATCACCAGGAAGAACCAGTCACAGATCAATTGCACCATTCAGTGAGCTTATTGCATTGCAGGTGGAGGTTGGAAGACAACCAGGCAAGGATGCTGGAGAGACAGCAGGCTGGTTGTAATGCCCTTCACCCCTGAGATTCCAGGATTTACACCTTCTGATCCATGGTGGACCCAAAGGCAGATTCTGAGAGGGGAAGGAAGGTGGGAGCTACCGAGGATACTGGAGACTCTTCACTGACAGAGCGGGGTATCTGGGGAGGCCCAAGGAAGCATTATCCTTATGTCTCCATGCTTCCCCTTCAGCTGTTACCAGTGATATCCATATCCTTAGCAAGTACATCTACACGTCTGATTTTGCTGTCAATGCCTCTCCTTCTCCTAGACCGTCAGAGATTCGTTTCAAGATTTTAATGGGCCTGCTAGGTCCTGGCTACTCACAGTGGCTTCTGTGTCAGCAGCAGGGGCATCACCGGGGGCTGGTCAGAATTGCAGAATCTCAGGCTCTACCCCCACCGGCTTAGCCAGAATCTGGACTTTAACCAGATGCCCCAATGGGGGTCCTAAAATAGGCACATAAAATCTGAGAAGTCCTGCTTAGAGCAGGACCAACTACATGCTTTCCGGGGCCCTGTGTAAAATAAAAGTGCAGGTCCTCTTCAAAATTATGAAGAATTTCACAACAGTGAAAGCAAGACTTTAAACCAACTTCAGCCCTTCTGCCCAGGTGGCGCGCCTACGGGGCTGGCCCTGGCTCTGAGTGTGGATGCACAGGATGACTCAATTGGTCCATCTTCTGGTTTTGAACATGAACACCCTCTTGAGAAAACTTGGATTTTTCCAGCCCACCTGCAGGGGTGAGACAGGGGCTATCAGGAAGGGGTGAGGCATCCTTGCTGTGTGTGGTGCCCACTACCCACCGTGGGCATCTGGGCATCACTGTGAGTAAGGGATGCACACGCAAACCCAATATAGAGCGGAAGTGCTCAGACATGATGATGGGAGCGGGGACAGGAGACTTCCTGAGCTCTGCACACATGTCCTCCTTCTGGCCTTGAGATGTGCTCTGCAGAAGGTCTCCTGGACGTCTCCAGAGCTCAGTTCTCCACAGTTGAGTCTGTCCTTTCCCCACCAACCGAGACTTTGGTTGTCGCTCTGATGGAAACTATCTGTTGATGGCCCTAAAGGCCATTTTTATTGTTGTTGGGATGTTCTTTGCCAGCTCTGCATGCATTCTGAACCACCATCGTTGGTTATATTCTAGGAGAACGTGTATGAGCAGAGCTCATGTCCAGCTGAAAAATAAATTTTTTTTTTTTGCTTTTGAACACTATTACAGATTGTTTTTATCATACCTATCATTAGAGTTCATTGTTTTACAAACTTTTATGGGGCACACAGAATAATGCAGAACTTCTCTATCTGCAGAGATTGAAGGTTATCTCTGGTTCCATAGTGATGGGACACTTGAGACATGTGATAGAAATCCCTGTGTATTATTTGTGTGGAGTGTGGAGTGTACATTAGGTACGTAATACATTATATCTAATTCTCAAAAAGAAAACCATTAGGCCCCCTATAAAGACCCTATGTAGGGAAATCATCCATTTTTTGATAGAAACTAGGGAAAGAATTCGTTTCCCTCTCCTTCTGCAGTGCAGGTGTAGTTTGTCCCTCATTCCTCCCGTCAGACAGCACAGCAGGACTACTGCAAAGTATGTCAGGACCAAAAATAACAGCAAACAGTGTTAAATAGTGGCAATACCTATTATTGATAAAGCACGTTTGTTTATGTGACCTTGTTCAGCCTACGAGTCCTGCCCCTCACGTTTCCCTGCAGTCCGTCCGGCAGGCCTGGGGCTGCTGGGAGTCGAGGGCAGAAGCTTCTCTCCCAGGGTCTGCTCAGCTCCAGATTGACTCCAGACCTTTAGGAGCATCTACAATGCCCATAAACACAGTGAACAGCTGAAATTTAGTGTGTGGTGTTTGTTGAGTGTACATGTTTATGTGTGTATTAGTGTGTGGTTTATGTGTATGTGTTAGTTTGTGTTCATATGCATGTATTAGTGTGTGTGTATGTGTATATATTTGCATGTGTGTTCATGTGTATGTGTTAGTCTGTGTGTGTACATTTGTGTGTTTTAGAGAGATGGATGCAAAGAGTCAGAGGACATACTGCAAAACTGTCCTGGTACAAGGATTTGTGTGTGTGTGTGTGTGTGGATGAATATATAGTTTGTAGTCATAAAAGTAATATATCTGTATTAGGTATCTATTGCTACATAAAAAATTACCATCACCCTTTTATGGCCTGGTCACACTCTGTCACCTGCACCATATCTATTTATTATAAACAAGTCTCTATGTCCAGGCCACAGTCAAGCCTCCATCTTTCAGAGGCAGGCGTATTGAAGAATTTGTACACAAATTTTAAATCTAACATAGCACCCACTGGATGATGTTGGGAAGCATGAAGAAAGAGGACAGAACCCATCTGTAATCCCATTGCTAGCATATTGGGATGTTTTCCTCTAGTCTTTTGGAGAGTTTATGTGCCTGTTACCCACACATTAAACAGCCGACACGCTTCCAAGATCATGCAACAGTCTTCTAGGAAATGTTTCTAAACACCAGGGACTTTTGAAAGCTCCCATACCCTGGAAATAAGCAGTCACTGACCTTCTAGAACAGCTACTTCCTCTCAAATAGGTCATTAATTTGAACTCTGGGTTTCTCCCCTCTTGGCTCCATAGCCCAGAACACCATCGCTGGGAATGGTGTTGGGATTAGCCATGAGCTCATTAGTCTGGAGATCACCTCCCCCGAGGTTCCGGATCTGACCCTCATTGATCTTCCCGGCATCACCAGGGTGGCTGTGGGAAACCAGCCCCAGGACATCGGACAGCAGGTGAGCCTTTCTGGAACTTGGGAACAGGCCACGCTGAAGTTGGGGAGACTTCAGAGGTCTCTGCTGGTAGCCCCAAGGATCCTGGTGTGCCTCTCCGAGCCCTTACCTTCTGTGTGGCTGGGCCTGTCTGGACACTGCCCTGTGGAGCTTTTGAAGAAAGCAAGAAGACAGGGTGGCCTCAGGAGCAGGGTGGATGCCAGGGTGGGGGCGGGACGGGAGAAGAGGGGACCCTCCTGTCCTAGGACTGGGGTTACTGGCCTGCCCTCTTCCCTTTTATGGGGTCGTTGCCAGTGTCAGGAACCCAACCAGAGCCAAATTAAGGGTATGGCAGCCCTGAGATCCTCCTGGGTGGGGTCTCTGCCAGCTCTGCTGTTCTGTGCAAAATCTCAGGCAGTTAAATTCTGCTTTCTTCCTCAACATCCAGGTCGCCATTCCCTGTCTCCCTAGGAGCAGGGTAATTAGCTCACCTCTCTTACGAATTCAGTGATTAACTCAACACTTCTTACCCCCCTAGGAGGGCAGCTGGCTCAGGAATCGGTGGGGTTTCCCAGAGCAGGACATTTGGGTGGAGTCAGAGCAAGCCGCTCCCTCCGGCCACTCCACCTTCTCCTCTTTGATCAGACAATCTGACCAAAAGCACTTTAATCTCAAATAGTTTCATCAAAAGCAAGTTGGTTGAGTTGGCAGAATATTGCTGGTGTTTTAAATATTGGAAAACTGTGTGCACAGTCTAAGATTTTCATCCGTGTCTCAGAATTCTTAAGGGTTTCATTTCTCTGCATTCTTTTACTTCTAATTAATTCCTAGCTCCTCATTCCTGTCATGGACAGTATGGGGTTGGTTGGTTACTACCAGTGAGTTCTGTAACACTGTGTACAGCTCAAAGGCACCAAACCTCAACCAGGCGATTAGAAAGGGTTATATCTAATAAAGCTACAGTGTGTGAAAACACTGCCAATGAACAAAAAAATTTTTTGCAAAAATTAATTAGGAAAACAGATTTCCTACCCCACGTTTCTTCTCTTTATTAAATTCTTGTTTAAATTATTACAAAAGAAATGTGTTTCATTAGTGAAGTGTAGTATTAGGAATAAATATGAGTAGAGATATCACTGACACCAGACACCTGAGGACCTGCCACTAGAGCAACCATGTGGTCGGAGGCACTGTTCATCCCAAGCACCCGCTCTTCAGGAGCTGTGCTGGATTCTGCGTGGGGACACGGAGATGAATAAGATGTCACTCTTGGTCACAAAGGAACTTCTTGGCTTTGGGGGCAGATATGACACACAAATCACTCTAATAGAAGGCAGAGTCTCTGAGGTGTCTTGGGTGAGATCTGGAGAGGCAGGAAGGGTCACACATGGTTGCAGGAAAGAGGGAATTCAGGAAAGAAGAAATGCCAGCAGTGGGCTTTGAAGGATAAGCAGGAAACCCACGAGAACAGGGCAGGGTGGGGGCGGGTGTGGCAGAGGAAAGGGAGAGGCCAGGCCATAGCCCAGAGGACACGCCCCAGGACCACACTGCTTCTGCACCGCCACACCTGCCCTTCCGACTGAGGTGACTGAGACGTGTGCTCTTTCTGTGTGTGATTCTTTGGCATCAGGTCAAGGCTCTCATCAAGAAGTACATCCAGAGGCAGCAGACTATCAACTTGGTTGTGGTCCCCTGCAACGTGGACATCGCCACCACGGAGGCACTGAGCATGGCTCAGGAGGTGGACCCCGATGGAGACAGGACCATAGGTAAGAAGAAGGAACCAACCTTCCAGAGGAAGGGAAGGGAGGGAGAGACTCCTCATATCTCCAGAAGGTTCTGGAATGTAGCACTATTAGAGATGCCCTGCATCTTGCATTGAATTTAAGTTCCACTTGTTTATCAGGGATGTCTTCTTAACGGCTGGAGTAGGTAATATCATCTGCCCAGAAGACAGAGCTATCTGGATGCTAAAATCTCTATAGAGATTTAGTTCTGCTTCTTATTAATAGACAGTTTTCTGGTCCTTTCATTTGCCACAAACTCAGATAACCAAAAGTTCTCAATAAATATCAGCTATTGTTATTATGACTTCGGCAAATCACTGTCGTCATAAGGTATCGCTGTAGTCATAAGGTACACAATAAGATCTCAGTGTAGCCCAAAACAATAGTATAACATAAATGCAAATTTTCTATGCTCTAGCTCAAGAATAGAAATAGAGAAAAGTGTAATAGGTTTAAAAGGAAAATGAATATATGCCCACATTCGTGGCAGCATTAGTCACAAGAGCTGAAAGGTGGGAGCCATGCAGGTGTCTGACAGTGGGTGAAGAGATAAACAAGATGTGGCATACACATATCCTGGAATATTATTCAACCTTAAAAAGGAAGGAAATCCTGACACATGCCACGACATAGATGAACCTCAAGGACATTGTGCTAAGTGAAACAAGTCAGTAACAAAAGGACAGATACTATGTGATTCCACTTAGAGTAGTCAAATTCATAGAGACAGAAAGTAGAATGGTGGGTGCCAGGGGCTGGGGGAGGGGAAATGGGGAATTATTGTTAATGGGGACAGAGTTTCCATTTAGGAAGATGAACTTAGAGTAGTCAAATTCATAGAGACAGAAAGTAGAATGGTGGGTGCCAGGGGTTGGGGGAGGGGAAATGGGGAATTATTGTTAATGGGGACAGAGTTTCCATTTAGGAAGATGAAAAAGCTCTGGAGATGGATAGTGGTGATGGTTGTACAACAATGCAAATGTACTTAATGCCATTCACTATAAACTTAAAACTGGTTAAAATGGTAAATTTTATGTCATGTACATTTTATCACAAATTTAAAAAGTAAATAATTTTTTAAAAATTCAAGTTAGGTAACGGAAGGCAGAGTGGGAGGATCATATTTTCATTGAGTTATTCACTTGAAGACATGAGTTCTGTGTATTTTACCACAATTTTTCTAAACAAGGAAATTGAATAGGTATCTATCTATACAGTACTTACAAAGAATGAAAAAAATGCAGACATAATGGTGGTTTCTAAAATATCAAGTTTCAGAAAGAACAGTGAGTCAAACGTTGGCAGGCTCTCCACTAAGCTGGTTCCCTATCTGTACATTGCTAAACGCACATTGTCTACTCAGTCAGCTCCAGCTGAGCTCCTGTCCTCCCCACGTGGCAGAGACTGCTCTTGTCACGGTCACTGCTGATGAATGAGCAGGCAGTCTCTGTGCTCACCTTCCCTTTCTCTGCAGCAGGAACCCTTCCTGAAACCTTCTCCTTCACTAGCCAGCTGGAGGTCACGTTCTTGGTGTCCTCGTCTGGTTGTCCTCTTCAGTTCTCTGACCTCTAAATATTGAAATCTTAGTTATAGGTTCTCCATTCTATCAACACATTCTTCTTAAGTGATCTTATCCGTCCATGGTTTAGAATTCCATCTATACCCCAGTGACTACCAAATCTATATCTGTAACCCTGACCTTTGCTAGACTTGACCTCTCTACCTGGATATCTAGTGAATGTCTCCAACTTAACACGACCAAAACAGAACCCTTGTTTCTCCAACCATCATAAGTCTCCTCTGTCCCAAGGCTTCCCCACCTCATATTCAGCACCACATCTTCCTGCCCAGGTCTAAACCAAATCTGAGAGTCACACTTGAGTCCTCCTTCCCTTGTCTTCATGCCTAATTTATCTGAAGTCCTGGTGACTCTACCTGCAAAACTAGTACCAAGTCCATCCACTCCTCCCCATCCCCACCATCACCACGTAGGCCAAGCCACCATCATCTCCTTCCCGGACGACTCCAGCTTCCTCCGGCTGGTCTCCTGGTATTCACCTTGCCATGACACTGCGCCCTCCACTGGCCTTTAAACATGCTCACACTCACTAATGCTCCCATCTCACATGTATATAAACCCCAGACTTCTTGACCTGGACACCAAAGCCCTGTGTGACCTGCTCCTGCTTGCCTCTCTGATCATGGTTCCCACCAATGTCCAGCATGGCTCAGTCGTCCGAGCTCACTCTCACCCAAGGGCTGGAGTCTTCCTCCTCTGTCCTCACTGTGCAGGTTCCTTCCTCTCATTCATATCTCAGCCCAAATGTCGCTTCCCAGAGCAGCCCTCTCTGTCCACCCAACCTAAAACTGCACCATCCACCCCTGCCCACAGACATTTGCCAGCACCTCCATTTACTTTAATTCTCTGCATAGCGCTTAGCAATATCAGACATTCTTCTGGAGTTCTTGTATATTACTAGGTTAATTTACCTGGCTTCTTCCCATGGGAGGGTGGGGATACTCAGGAAGCCAGGGATTTTGCAATTCCATTCACTGCTACCTCCTCAACACCTGGATCAGTATGCTTAATGAGGATCTGTTAATTCAGTAAGTGCATACAATGAATGCACGAATTAATTAATTTAAAAAGAGAAAAAAAGTAAAAGCATCTGAAAATTGCTGACAGTGCTCTCCTCTGTGGCCCAGTACTAAGCTGGAACATTAAAAGATGCCTCAGAGCCGATGCTATGACGGACGCGTGTGTATTTTCTGAACTGAGTCCTCTATTTTAAATGGAGGCAGAGAATGTGTGAGAAACCTCTCTCTCGCAGGCTAGGGTGAATCCTAATGGTGAGCCTGTTTTTATTATCTTACTTCCTCATCTCAGAATAAAGTGCAATGACCTAGACAACTGTGAATGATTGCTCGTTCTGGGGAAGGGCCTCCTTCTTGACTGCTTTTTCCCCTCTCTTTTACCAATGGAAGGTGCAAAGGTATATTCAGAGACACCTTGGCTCTGTTGGTAACATGTAAGTCTGTGCTCATACAAATATTTTAGTGACTATGAGGATATACTCTTAAATGACAACTTCTGGTAACAGATTAAAACACAAGAGAGAAAGACAACTGCTTAGCTGGGGTGCCAGGAAAGTTTTAGGAAATGGTAGACCAGCCAGCCAGACTTAACCACAAATTAAAACCAAAGACAGAATATCAGAAGACGACATTCAGGTTTTCAACCGAAACAGACAGAAGATGCAGTGGCGATCTGACACTCAAACAGCACAGACAAAAATAAGCACTTGGAACTCAAAGCCTTCGATCCAATGTGAGCAGGATGGTGTGGGGCAGGACAGTGGGAGAGGAAAGCAAGGAGGAGATGAAGGGAGGTGCCCACAAGAGGGGGCAGAGCCAGTCTGTGCAGAAGACACTAGAGAGGGACAGACGCAGGCCTCCCTGCAGCAGGAAGCAAGGTGTTCTTGAAAACAGGGTGGGCGAGCAAGTCTGTTCTCATGTTGCTTGCCGGCCTGGTCCCTGGCGCCCAGCAGGCACCCAAGATACAGCTGTCAAATCAATTATACAAGGCAATGAATGAATTGAGAGGGTGAGTGGCTGAGCCAATAGAAACGCAAGTAAGAGGGTAACAAGGGAATGCAGATGAAATGAATGAATGGCTGTCAGGCATTGCGGGATCAAGGCTACAGAGACCCTATGGTCCTGGCCAGAAAAGGAGCCCACAGCCTAGCATTCTTCAAACACATCTGAGGGGAGAATTGACCTTCCCACTGCCCTTCCTAACCATCTCGCAGGGATCCTGACCAAACCAGATCTAGTGGACAAGGGCACCGAGAAAGGTGTCATGAATGTGGCCCGTAACCTCACATACCATCTCAAGAAGGGCTACATGATAGTGAAGTGCCGGGGCCAGCAGGATATCACCAACAAGCTGAGCTTGGCAGAGGCGACCAAGAAAGAAATGGCATTCTTCCAAACACATCCGTACTTCAGGTGAGACTCTCAGACTCCAGGGAACCCATCCCCTCCCACAAGAATTGGCCAAGATGACACCAAATCATATGTAGAAATTATACTACATAGCATTACCTGTCCTCGCCTTTATTTTAGTGTTAAATTTATCGGCTTATTTAAAGAAATTTAAACAAATTATTGTTCCTTGGATTCTAATAATGTTGCTGATTAAAAATTAAAATGTGATGTTGCATGAAGCACCTTGGTTTCCCAAAATGTTTTCCCTTCCTTTCTCATTTGGGTCCTACAAAATCTTAAGAGATACATAAGGCAGGTGAGGTTCTTCTCATTTTTATAGATAAAGATAATGAGGACAGATTGTTAGTGAATGAAAACAGGACTTGAAACAGATCTCCTAACTTCCAGAAACTGTGACTATGATGGCCCTCATTAAAATCTGCTTTATGGAACTCTCCACATGTTTAGAGCCTACAACTTAACTGGTTTTATTAAATATAAATTACCCTGCAAAGACTCCACAGTTTGCAGGACGTTGGGATTTTCCCCACTGAATTGGACACTTTTTTCCTTCATTTTATTCAGGAAATTGCTATTCCTGAACAATTTGGGAACATAATAATAAGACAGAAGTCACTCCAGCTTTAAGGAGAGATACACGTACTGGGAAAATGGTGAATTTGAGCAGACCAGGTTGCTACTTGCTAACTATGTGTTCTTGGGATTAAATGGGTCACCTTCTCTGAGTTTTCACTTTCTCTTCTGCTCAAGGAGACCTTCCTACTGCTTCACAGGATTGTGGTTAGGGTCAAATAATATGACATACACAGAGGTCCTGGGACACCAACTGCCAGCACTCAGTAAATACCACTCCAGTTCCTTCTTTCTCTCTCTGCTCCTGCTCAAAACAGGGGAAACAATAGCATTGGGGGTCATGAAGAGAAGAAAATGCTCCTCACTGAGCAGGGAGATTATTCCATAATAATCGGGCCCGTGGTTCTCAACCCTGAGCAAGTGGCAAAATCTGTTAGAAAGTTTGTTAACATCCAGCTGGCTATGTGCTGCCCTGAGGTCTGGGATGCAGCCCAAGAAATTGTGTTTCTAACAAGTTCCCAGTTGAGGCCGATGTTGCCAGTGAAGGCAGGCACCACATTGAAACCAGGCTCAAGATCTTTGAGAGACTTAAGTCTTGCATGAGAAAGCATGAGGAAGTGTCTTGTTGAATACTAGAATTTAAATCCTTGAGCATCCACTTGCTGGGAGTCAGCCCTGCAGTGAGAGGTGCAGGGCACAGTCCTGGGAAAGTGACCCCATGGGCTCCTCCCTTCCTGAATTCATGGTAACAGCAAATACCTGCTGCCCAACTGCCCAGTGCCAGGCTACTTCTCCTTTCTGTGCCTTGGCCTTTCTCTCTCTAAAACAGGTTGTTCAATGATTAAATACATTAACATTTGCAAAGTCTTTAGAATGGTGCCTGGCACTTTGTAAGCACCATATAAAGTTTTGATACAAGAAATAAAATACCAATCTGGGCAGGTCACATAACCTCTGAGGTTGAGTTCATCTTTTTTTCCCTTACAGAAGGAACCAGGGTGGTATTTACTGAGTGCTGTCTGTTTGCCTCAGGACCTCTGTGTATGTCATATTATTTACCCCTAACACCATCCTGTGAAGCAGCAGGAGAGCCTCCTTGAGCAGAGGAGATAGTGAAAACTCATGAGCTGTTGGGATTGTAGAAAGAGAAAATGAATGGAAACTCCCTAGACAGGTTCACACAGGAATGGGCTGGATCCATAAGTAGCTGATGTCTTCCTCACGCCCGTCCCCCTCCCCGACTGTCCAATGGTTGTCCTGGGAGCTGAGCCCACTGGCCCACTCACAAAGCCCAGTGCTGGAAAAATAGCCACAAGTCCTTCCTGAATTCATGAGCTCTCTGTCTCGTTCCAGAGTCCTCCTGGAGGAAGGGAAAGCAACAGTGCCCTGCGTGGCAGAGAAACTCACCGCCGAGCTCATCGTACACATCAATGTGAGCCAGCAGGCTGGGCAGCAGCCCGCCCACATCCCTCTCTCAGTCCTGGGGTGGCTAAGATGCCCCGTGCCACATGGCTCATGGGCACAGGCTCACAGGAGCCCTTCCTAAATGGGAAGCAACAACAACACTATGTTGAAACAAAGAGTTGAAGCAGTCAGTTTGGGAAAAGCAAAAAGGGAAGCAAGAAAATGATGATACCAGCTTAGTTGTGCAAAAAGGAATGACCCCTGAGTTGGTATATTTTTCTTTTTCAACAGATTGTTAACACTTCAGAGTAGAAAAAACATTTTCCCAGCTTCAAACTTGCAAGAAATAATTCGTCTGTAAGAATTAAATTCATTTTTACTGATTCTCAAAAATAGGCAACTACAGACAAGGTTATCAGAATATCATTGACCATAGGAAAACTGCAGCTTGGTGCTTATTGAGACATAGAATATTTTTCTGCTTGCCTGAGCCTTTGCAAATGCGGTTGTGCAGCAGGGAAGATGTAAGTTTACTCTGAGAACAGAGCTGATTCCAGATCCTGGGTCTTGGTCCCTGCTAAATTGTGTGTCAGACAAAAGCGAGGAATCCTTTGAGCCAGAAGCACATATTCAAAGAATATTTGTTTGGAAGGAATCAATGGTTCTCAAACTTTAGTGCACACAAGAATCATCCCGAAATTTGTTAAAACTCAGATTCCTGGGCCTTAGCCCAAGAGTTTCTGATTCAGTAAGTCTGGGGTACAGCCCATCAATTTGCATTTTTAAGTTCCCAGGTGATCAGGAACAGACTGAGGAGCACTGATTCTAGTGGAATCCCCTACGTTTGCAAAAGAGGGCTCCGAAAAATATATCCCTGAGAAAAACATCTGTTTTGCAAGACATACATTCCATGTTGATAACTTCTTTGATAACTCTTTTCTCGACACTTAAATATTTTAATTTAAAATTTGTTATATTTTAAATTAGTTTTTAAAATTTAAATCAAGACTCAATTATGATAATGATAATTTGAAATATCAGGAAAGATTTAATATATTTCTGACTACAGGTACAAACTGACCAAAAAAAAAAAGCCTGTGAGACCTTATTAACTTCTTGGTGTGATCCATCTTATCTAGCCTTGGTGTGCTAATCCACAAACCACCTCCAAGTCCCAGCCAACTCTTCCACCCGGCTGGCTGCAGGTCCTCATCCACCAAAGTGGGAGTGGGGCCACTGCTCCCCAGGCATCTTTACTTGCTGTGTTTACCAGCGGGGGCTGCAGAGCTGGCGAGCAGGGTGGGAATCAAAGCTGCCACTTTTCAGCTCAGTGACTATGACAGGTGATTAGGTTCTCTGAGCTGTAGTTTCCTCTCTTGCAAAAAAGAGGCAGAGTGCTGCAGCGTGGGGATTCAATGAGATGTGGAGTGTATCACCAACATCCATGACACACCAGTAAATGACCAGTTTATACCACTCAAAATGACCACCAAAAGAGCATCTTACTTAAGAATTAAGAAATCTTACATTATATTCAAGTGTACTTGTTCTCTAAATACAAGGCACCAAGCCAAATCAAATAGCAACAGCAAAACAAAAACAGAAACAGGCCACCACCTGATTCCTCACCACTGCAATTGCATTGGAGAACTGCCAAGTGCCAAACCAGGCCATTCAAGCTGCAGTTCACACCTGGCATGCAATGCCTTCTTTGGGCTCCTTAGCACGTTTCCATCTGTATTAGTCCATTTCTGTTGCTTATAATAGAATACTTGAAACTGGGAAATTTATAAAGAAATGAAATTTATTTCTTACAGTTCAGAGGCTAGGAAGTCCATGGTCCAGGGAGCACATCTGGTGAGGGTCTTCTTCTTAGCGGGATGCATGGTGACCTGGGTATCATGTGGTGGGAATGGGCTGAGCCAGAGAGCTAAACTTCTCACTCGCTCTCCTTATGAAGGCATCAGAAACATTCCCATGACTCCATGAATGGATCAATCCATTCACAAGGACACAGTCCCACCGTCTAATCACCTCTTAAAGGCCATACCTTTCAAATACCATAATTGGATTTATCTCCCTCTTAACACTGTTACTATGGGGGTCAAGCTTCAATGAGTTTTCGGGGGGACATTCAATCACAGCACCATCCTAACGAGATTCCAACAAGAAATAGAAATTCCAGATCTTCTTGAATGCTTTAAAATGGGATTCTACCACTACATCTGAGAAATCTGTCAGATAATTTCATTAAGCTGCAGTTTCACTGTTTGCAATTATCAAAAATTGCAGAAATCACTCCCGTTGTTAGAAAATCAAATAAGGGAGAACCACCAGAGGGCGACAGAGGAACTGCGTCAGTGTGGAGCAGACATCCCCAGCCAGGACTCCGATAAAATGTTCTTTCTGATTGAGGTGAGAGTTCTGGGCCACCAGACCCCCTGGCTGGCCGCGGTGCCAGGACCCGCACCTGCCCTTCCTTTGTCTCACCCGTAGGAAGAGGGGGTTAGGTGGGTGCTCCACTTACAGCCCCGGCCCCAATACCACACACCTGCCCCAGGTCCCGCTCTTTATTACGCTTACAGCACACACTAATGACTTTTTCTCCTTTTCAGAAAGTTAAGATGTTTAATCAGGACATTGAAAAGTTAATAGAAGGAGAAGAAGTTGTAAAGGAGACAGAGACCCGCTTATATAACAAAATCAGAGAGGAATTTAAAACCTGGGTACTCGTACTTAATGCCAATAACAAAAAAGGTAAGTTCTGGGCGGGGCTCTCCCTAAAAGCAGTGTCATGTTTACCAAGGCTAGAAGCTACTTCTGGAGCATAAAAAGTGGGCAAAGAGCTGAGTGTGCCCATGCAAGAGGCCAGGGCGCCTTAGGAATCGGTCGCCACTTCCCGGCCATCAAGACCTTCCATGCCAAGCACTGCCCTTGCCAACTGAACCAAAGGCAATGCCACAGCCTCCGACTTCTTGCTTCTATGTTCTGAGGCTAAATGTCATTTGATGCCCATCTGAGAAATGTGCAGAGCCGCCTGTGGTGGTGCAAGGCAGGCAATCCTGTGTGCCTGTGGGGCAGCACCCACCAAAGGCAGGTCCAGGTGACCCCGGGAGACCCAGGTGAAAGCTCTTCAGTGTGGCTGTGTCGGGAGCACACAAGCCGGCAGTGGGGGTAACAGGTGGCGCCCGGGCACAGAGCCTTCATTAGTAGTAGCTGAACATCAGCGTTTGAGTTTGGCCTGGTAGAAAAGGTAACCTGGCATCTTGGTGGTGTTCAGACAGAACACAGCACGGCTGCCATGTCTTGTCTTGTCAGCTACAAGACATTCGAGGCGGGAGTTCCATGATGTTGTTCCATTCAACATCTCCCCCCTGTGGACAGTCTAGAGTGCAATGATCTGGTTTTAGCAATAAGCAAAGAAAAGGCTAAAAGAAGTGATGGTTTAACTTCCAAAAAGTGCCCAGGTTGACTAAACAATTCCACTTACCCCATTTCCTCCCTTCTCTTTACCCCTAACCCAAGATGAGAGAGGTTAATGGTTTGACAAGAGCCTCTGTGCTTGGCCTAGCAGAGTTGCAACTTCCACGTGCTCCAGCGCAGACGCCAGCAGGACATGTGCATGTGTGCGCTTGTGTGTGGTGATGGTTGTATCTTTGTTTGTTTGGCACTTGATAAAAACATTGCTGTTTACTCCTGTGGTAGGATTCCTCCAGCTGTGGTCTGTGGATGTGTGCTTGAGGGTCTGTAAGTGGTACAGGAATCTTTAAGTTTCTGTTTTCATTTAACTAATCAGATTTTTTTTTTTTTTTTTTTACTGAAAATAAACACCGAACTTCCCTCTAGGAGTGATAATTCTCAATTGAATTACATTTTCATAAAATAAGATTTTTGTTTGTCAAAAGTCAATATTTCTCAAACCGCCATTATCAGACTATGAATATGTTTTCATTATGAACAAAACTCCATTTTGAAACACTACTTTAGGGTACAGTGGGAATAAGACTTTCTTTTTTTTTTTTCCTTTTTTTTTGTCTTTTTCCGTGTCCGGCAACGGATCGCAACCCTCAGTGTCGCGCCCGTACCGGACCGGGACCGGCAATGGGATCGCAACCCTTGGTGTTGCTCCCACACCTCGCTCAGCCAGTGAGCGGGAACTGGTCTGTATGTGGGATCCGAACCCTCGGCGGGAGCGCCACCGCGCTCCCAAGCGGCGCACTGTAGCAGTGCGCCACCGGGCCGGCCCTGGGAATAAGACTTTCAAAAAACTGTCCCTACCTTTAGAATGTCTGTGGGATTATTAGAATTCACTGTGGTGGTTTGCTTAATGTTGCAGTTAAAAAAATTATTCATGAAGAAGTCTCGAAATATGAAAAGCAGTATCGTGGCAAAGAGCTCCATGGGTTTGTCAGCTACAAGACGTTCGAGGCCATAGTGCAGCAGTACATCCAGCAGCTGGTAGAGCCTGCGTTGAACATGCTCCAGAAAGCTGTTGGTGAGGACCTCTGTGTGTGCCCCTTGAATGGTCCCCAGCCCTTTCCAAGGATCCCACTGCCTGGGAGGGAGAGATGGGAATGGAATTACCAAACACAGCCTGAGATCTTCTTTCTGGTGTGGTCCATGGGCCTGGCCTGGGAGCTGGTCAGAACCACAGATTCTGACCTCCCAAATGAGAACTTGTACCAATGTCTCCAGGTGACTTGAAAGCACGTTAGTTTTGAGAAGACTGCCCTCTAGTGTGATAGGAACCTTCCATCCCTGTCCTTCACATGCATGAAGGGGTAGGGTAGAGCGATGGTTTCTCCTGTCTTTGGAGGAAGCAGAAGAGTGCACACGAGCTTGGTCTACATCACACACAACCCTCGGTACAGCCATGGAGGGAACAGTCGGGTGTTGACCATGGAGCGAGCATGCACCCATGAGAGGACGGGAAATTGACAGGCGCTGCTGGGGTGGGTGGTGGCTGGGTTTCTTTCTCCTCGGGATTAGGTACCACCCTCTCCTTCTCTCTTGGTCTCTGGTTCTGGGGAGCTCGGCCCTGGAATGGGATCGATGTGTCCTGACCTGTGTCTTTAACCCATTTTATTCCTACTTGCATTTTACTGATGTTTTATTCTTACTTTGGTCAGAAATTGTCCATCAAGGTTTCACTGACATGGCCAAAAAACATTTTACCGAATTTTCCAACCTCAATCAAATGGCCCAGGTAAGCACCCAGAGTTCACATGCCAGTCACCTGACCCCTGAAAGAAGTTGGGTATCTGCTGTCATTTGGAACTGTGAGGTCAGGGTTGAAAAGGTGGGTTGCTGAGCTGGCGACACCAGGAGCTTCAGCCCTCTTTACTTCTGCTGGGGAGTCTTCTTCAGCCCCCAGGAGAAGTGAAACCAGGCACAGGACCTCACTGTCTGTTCTACGTGACCTTACGCAGTATGGCTGGAATGTGGGCTTGGCAGAGATAACCTGAATCTATGAGTACACCTAGTGCCTGGTTGGTAGTTTGAGTCTTTTTCAAGCGTAAAGGACAGCTTTGTCGAGTAGTCCTACTGCAAAAGCTCTGTGGGTTTCCACTTAGCAACTCTGCCCCAAACCGTCTCTCAGTAAAAGGAAGAGAGAGGATGCTCCTGCTCCCACCTGGGCTCTAGATAAAATCCTGCTCTGCCAGGCCTGGGCTGCTTGGTTAAAATCTCATTCCACAATTCAGGAGAGCAAGAAAAATCATTTCTGTCATTTTTCCATAATGTAACTTAATGTCTCCTTTCACAATCCTTTGCCAGTTGGTGAAAATTAAATCTCAGGTCCAAATCTTGCCAACTTTCTCCAGGGCTGTGTCTGAGTCCCGGGTGTCTCATCATGGGGTGGGTGATGTGCCTGGTCTTCAATCCCCATTTCTCCGGGCTGGTGGCTTCCAAGGTGTTCGCTGTCCTCCCCAGGCCCTAGTCATTGGTCACCTGGGTCCCCTGGGTCCCCCGTGCTCCTGACTACAGGCCTGGATCCTCTGAGCCCTTGCCCACTCCACCAGGGCACAGGAAACCCTCTACTGCAGGCCCCGGTCACTCTGGGGCCACAGAAACTCAGGTGGGGACCTCACCTCTTTTGCGCTGCCCTCAGATAGACACAGCCTCACTACGGCACCCTGGACCACACCAGGGCCTGTGGGGCTCTCCAAGGCCATGGTCCACACACTCCCCTCATGAGCCACATCAGAGCCTCGAGTTGGTCACCTCCCGTGTCACTCCTCTTAAGACATGGAGGCACAGGCCATATCTGCTCTCAGGCCCCAAACCTGTGAGAGGGTCTATTATCTACTGTTGCCACATACATTCCAAAAGAGAAGAAAAACCAGCGCCCATGACCTGTCCCGCCTCTGCCTTCCGCTTACAAAAGTCTGTTTAAACTCAAAGATCAGGAAGTGACTGTCTTAGTTCGGGCTGCTATGACAAAGTAGCATAGACCACGTGGCTTATCAACAACAGAAATTGCTCTCTCACAGTTCTGGAGGCTGCTGGGATTCTGACATCAGGGTGTCAGCGCGGTTAGGGTCTGAGGAGGGCCCTCTCCCAGGCTAGACAGCCACCACCTTCTTGTGTACCCTCACATGGTGGGAAAGGGTGAGAGGGCTCTCTGGGATCCCTTCCATGAGGGCACTAATCCCATTCATGAAGCCTCCACCCCTGTGACCTAGTCATCACCCAAAGGCCCCACCTCCTAATACCGTCACTGTGGAGGTGAAGATTTCAACACAGGGGGCCGGCCCGGTGGCGCGCTGCTACAGTGCGCCGCTTGGGAAGCGCGGCAGCGCTCCCGCCGAGGGTTCGGATCCCACATACAGACCGGCCGCTCACTGGCTGAGTGTGGAGCGGGGGCAACACTGAGGGTTGCAATCCCGTTGCCGGTCCCGGTCCGGTACGGGTGCAACACTGAGGGCTGCGATCCGTTGCTGGTCACGAAAAAAGACAAAAAGACAAAAAAAAAAAAAAAAAAGATTTCAACATAGGAATTTGGGGGACACGAACATTCAGTCCATTGTGGTGACTTTGCTCTGCTATAGCGACCCTTTCTTTTCCAGCATTCCTTTAACTGTGCAGGTGACGCAGGCATCTGGATTTCTGGGAAATACATATAGCAGCTGTCATCCCACCATGTTCATTAGCACTGGAGTCATTCCTGAAGGCTCAGATCCAAGCAGAGTAGAGCCCCAAGAGTGACCGATGCCCTCGAAAGTAGGCTACCCCGACTGAGGGAGCAGAATGCTTGTGGTGAGGGAGGGAAGTGGGGACGGTGACATGCGACAGCAGAAGCAGGTGGCCGAGGGAGCGGAAAGGGTCAAGGGGCCTTCTGAACATCACCACTTAAAGCCTCAGGCCTTTATGACGAGGGTTTGTTTCTAATTCTGGGCTCAACATAATAGCCCTTCCTGGGCCGGCCCGTGGCTCACTCGGGAGAGTGCGGTGCTGATAACACCAAGGCCACGGGTTCGGATCCCATATAGGGATGGCCGGTTCGCTCACCGGGTGAGCGTGGTGCTGACAACACCAAGTCAAGGGTTAAGATCCCCTTACCGGTCATCTTTAAAAAAAAATAAATAAACATAATAGCCCTTCCTAACATGTTTAAGCAACAGTAGAAAAAAATAAGTCACGTGTCTATCTTTCTTCTCTAACCAGAACAAGATTGAAGACGTAAAAAGGAGACAGGCAGAAAAGGCAGAGAGGATGATCCAACTTCAGTTCCAAATGGAGCAGCTGGTTTATTGTCAAGATCAGATTTACAGCGATGATCTGAAGAAGGCCCGAGAAGAGCTGTTCAACCCATTGGGAAAGCCCCCACAGCTGAATTCCTCTGTTTTCAATGATTCCTCTTCAGTTTCCTCCATTACTGAGATAGGTGTCCACCTGAATGCCTACTTCTCGGTATGTTCCCATGTGTGCCGATTGGAGCTCTCTGGATTTGCTGAGTGGAGGGGGTGTTCTGATGGAGGGGGTGTTCTGATAGGAGAGGTGTTCTGATGGAAGGGGGGCAGAACTGAGGAAGAAGGGAGAGAATCCTCGCTACGTATTGTGCCCTTTTGTGCTGTGATAAATCACTCATATATTATTTATACTTTTTCAGGAACCCTGTGAAGGTACTTTAATTTGCCCAAAATCAGTTTTTTAATGTAGCAGAGCGTGTACTCAAAATTAATTTCTACTCTCACGTTCTTTGTATTTTATATGCAATATGTGAATTACAAAATTACTATTATCAGAATACAGCAAGAACAACAGACACTAACTGGAGTGTGTTACCCAGTGGTGGGGGTACGGCTGTCAGGCATACTAGCAGTGCCTATAAAGACAAGAGACGAGGCGAGCATTGGCAGTGGGTCCCAATAAACTCCCAGAAGGGAGCCGGGGGAGTCACGGGGCCAGCAGGTCTCTCCAGGGGACTGGAGGAAGGAGCTTCTGCCAGGCTGCCCAGAAAGTGGCCTGGGCTACCAGGAGGGTTCCTAGTTCCAGAAGAGATGTCTGGAAGTAAAAAGGGTACAGCCCAGATAGAACCCTCCTGTTGTTTAACACCGAGCACTCACTGCTGTGGAGGTGGACCACCAGGACTTAGCAAGGCAACCATGCATGTATCCAAGAGCCCCGGCTTCTCTCTACAGCCACAGGCCTTGGCTGAGACCCCTCCAGCTAACCCCTCTTGCTCCCTCTTCCAGGAAACCAGCAAACGTCTCGCCAACCAGATCCCATTCATAATTCAGTTTTTCATACTCCGAGAGAATGGCGACTGGCTGCAGAAAGCCATGATGCAGATACTACAGGAAAAAGACCACTATTCCTGGTTGCTGCAAGAACAGAGCGAAACCGCCACCAAGAGAAGATTCCTTAAGGAGAGAATTTACCGGCTCACACAGGCACGGCAGGCACTCTGCAAATTCTCCATGGAGCAGTTCCGTTGAAGGGCGCCAGTGCTTTGGGTTGTTTTCTTACACGCATTCGTTCATTGTAAGTGGAGCTGGTGCAGGACGTTGCTTGGGGTTTGGAACCAGACTCTTCTGTTGCTGTCCGCGTCCACCTTTGCGGTGCCACACTAAGCACCACAGATGCGGGCTCAGCCGTCACCTCCACCTCCACCTCCATGAAAAGGTGACGACTGTCCAGTCCTTGGGCCCAGTAGCACAGTTACAGTGATCTTAAATACTGTTAGCATTCTCTGTTAATTTGTATTTGCAGTTTCCTCCCTTTAGATTATGCTCCCTGGAGGAGCATCTGTATCATATTCTTTTGTACTTCCAGAATCTTGCATGACACCTGGCATAGAGTGACCACTTAATGAATGATGTCTCACTGAACAATGAGTGCTGTGAAGGGATGGACACCACCGGAAGCCATCACTTAAGCCCAGGCCTCTGTTGTTTAGTGTCCCTTAGCTGGTCACTTTCAGATGAGTTCGGCCATGCCACCTGCTTCCTGTTGTTGGCTGGATCCTGTTTCTTGGCCTTGCTGGAGGAATGAGCCTGAGTGATAATGTTCTCTCCCCGAGTTGCTTCTCTCATTGTGATGGGCTTCCATTCCTCTGTTAACTCCTGTTGAGGAATTTAATAAGGAAAAACACTTTTTAAAACATATGGAGCTTCACACCAGTGATCATCTCTAGATTGGAGAGTTGTGGGCAATTTTATTTTCTTCTTCATGCTTTTCTGTATTTTCCAAACAAAGAGCATAGGTTCCTTAATAAAAAGACAATACGATAAATATTATTTTTTATTTTTAAACCCAAGTTTGAGATGGAAAGAGTGCCTTGAAAACATTCAGTTTTGGTACAGACAAGGAGGGTACACATGAAATTTTCTTCATCACTTGCTGTAAAAGAAGTTGGAAAAGAAAGTTCCAGTGAAAATCACAGCTTGACTAGTGTTCCCCAAGAAGTCTCCTGCAGATTTCTATTAAAATGCTAGTGTTTTAGTCTCCTACAGTTGCCATAACAAAATAACATAGACTGGCTGACTTTAACAACTGAAATAGTATTTTCTCACACTTCTGAAGGTTGGAAGTCCAAGGTGTGGGTGTGTCAGGTCTGGTCTCTCCTGAGGCCTCTTCTCTTGGCTGGTAGATGGCCACCTTCTCACTGTGTCCTCATATGGCCTGTCTCTTTTCTTCTCATGAGGACACCAGTCATACTGGACCTGGACCCTCCCCTTATGACCTCATTTAACCTTGATTTTCTCTTTAAAGACCCTATCTCCAAATGCAGTCACATCAGGAGCCAGGGCTTCAACATATGGATGGTGTGGGGGGGAGCATAAATCAGTCCATAACAGCTAATGAGAAAATAAGCACATGGACTCTAAACACAAAATTTGACCAATGACCACAAGTTTGAGAGAATTTATCTCTAATTCAAAAGCCAGCAGGTCTGGCCTGAAACAAACTAAATGATCATGTGAAGTGTATTAGTCCATTGCTGTTGCTATAACAGAATACCTGAGACTGGGTAATTTATAAAGAACAGAGGTTTATTTGGCTTACTGTTCTGGGACAGCTGCATCTGGTGCAGGCCTCAGGCTGCTTGTACTCTTGGCGGAAAGCAGCATGCAGCGGCGGGTAAAAGATGATCACATGGTGAGAGGAAGCAAGAGAGAGAGAGGGGAGGTGCCAGGGTCCTATCAACAACCAGCTCTTGCGGGAACTAATAGAGGGAGAACTCACTCATTACTCCCCCACCTAGGGAGAGCACTAATCCATTCATGAGGGATCTGTGCCTATGACTCAAACAGTTTCCAGCACTGCCACATTGGGGATCAAATTTCCACATGAGTTCTGGGAGGACAAAATATCCAAACTCCATCATGAAGGCTGACATTGATTTACTGCTGAACACCCAGTGCACGGAAGCTGGGGTGTGGTTCAATTACCTACTGCTGAGGAACAAGCACCCCGAAATTTAATGGCTTAAGATACAAGTGACATGTTCTTTCTCTGGCTTTTGTGGCATGTCTGGGTGTTTTTTCTTCTGGTCCCGCCTGGTTTCACCCATGGGTCCCAGTCCCATGGAAGCTAGACAAGGCTGGAAGGCCCGAGGGGGGTTCACTCCCAAAACTACAGCTCCATACGGAAAACTTGGGCTCCCTTAGCACTGGATTTCAAAATTCAGAACAGTGGAGGAAGGCTGCCCGGCTACCTGTGTCTGCAGTGCCTCTTACTGTGGCTTTGGAAGCTGGTTAGGCAGGCCCAGTCTCTTTAGGATGAAGTTCACGGACACTCACACATTTTCAGTACTGTGGGACTATCGGAAATAGCATACTTACCTGTACATCTCCCTCCCTGCTCAGAGGGTCTGGCGAGGAACAGGGAGACCCAGCTCCAAGTGGCTCTTTCTCTGAGTTCAGCAGGGGAGGGTGGAAACTGTCCTCAGCTCCATCCTCTCTCTTCTTCTCAGCCCCAGATGCTTCTTGCATGGGCTTCTAGCATGAGAGGTGCCAGCACAGGTAAGCACTTGTGTCTCAGGTGGAAGGAATGAGAATAAAGGAGGGACAACCTGAAGTACCATTCTCCAGAACGGATACACAGGAGAAGTGTGCCCGGATCTCCAGAACTGAGCCCGACCCTTCCTGAGCTCTTCTCTCACAGCCTTGCGCGAGTATTCTTGCGCTCACCTGAGCACCTGCCAAGCATGGACTGGGGTGCTCAGCACTGGGGGAATAGAAACCTACAGCACAAAAGTTGAGCTCTGTGGGGCTCAGCTGAGCTAACATGTGTGACTCAAACAAGGATCAAGGAAAGTCTGAAAGTCAGACATTACTGTTACTTTTCACCGTTTCTCCTTTTTATCAGGAAACTGAAAATGAGCTTTGGAAGGGTTCACCTCATCCGCGAATCCTTTCCTGAGGACTTTTCCCTTGGCCCACCCCTCCCACTCCCCCACCCCCCAAAGGCCCTCTCCTGGCCCTCCAGAGCTCCCCAGTAAGCCGCTAGAGCAGTACTTTGTTTTTGTTTTGTTTTGTTTTCTATCCCAATAAAACTTTATTTACAAAAACAGGCATCAAACTGGATTTGGCTTGTGTGCTGCAGTTTGTGAACTCCTGGCCTAATGAATGACCTGTGTGTACATCCAGAAGAAGGATGAAGTGGTACAGATCAACATTACAGCTTTTAAATAAGCATATATATTAAAACCCTTTAATATATATATAATAACTCCCTTTTACCAATAGGATAGAGTTCCCCTAGCATGGCAGGGATCCTTATCAACAGGAAAGTGTATTCATCTAAATAAAGGTCAGAATATGTTTAGAATAGAATAGCGATGCTACCTGCCACATTTACTTCATACATATACAGGGTACTTCAAAAAGTTTGTGGTTAGCGCAGCTGACAGTGTGTCAGTCATAATCTGAAGGTCCCAAAGAGTTTGTGGAAAAATAGAATTAAAAGGTAATACAAATTTTTCCATGAACTCTTTTTTTTATTGATTATACGTATTCATGGGGTGCAGAGCTACCTACCATTAGCACCTGTGCCCAAGATGTGGTGATCAGATCAATACCATCAGCATGCCCACCACCTCAGATTGCAATTGTTCCCCAGGTGCCCCACCATCCCCTCCCCCACCCCCCACACCCCTAAGTTTATTCAAAGCAGCACTTTCTTGAGAGTAGCTCATTCCTCAGTTTACTCACCTGTCTCTTTAGGGGCAGTGACTTTGTCTAATTTACTCGTATATCCCAAGCATCCAGCACGGAACCTAGCATGGTGTGTGATAAATGTTCAGGGAACAAGAAAGGAGGGAGGGAGGAAGAAGGTGATGAATGATGACATGGGTTCAAGCAGGCTGTCTAACACTTAACGTTGGGGCAAGGTCTTATGAGCTGATGTGGATGGACCACCTGCCCCTAAGTAAAGAATGTGTGTAAGTTCCTGAAATGGTTGACATACCAATTAATGTACAACCTCCTGACCTTAAGTGAAACAATGAGCTATTGAGGCATGAAGTTTACTGCCTGTTCTATTCACAGACACCTTTTAGCCTGTATGTTGTAACCTGTACCAATAACTGCAGCTTTTGTATCTCACACACCAACAAATATGGGACAACTCTGGTATGAGGAGGCCCCCTCCCTTTTCCAAACTTTCCTATAAAATCTTCCCAGTGATAGACTTCCAAGCACTTCCCAATTCTGTTGGTTTCTAGGTGGATCCTTCAGGTTGGCTTTCAATAAACCCTTATAAAATTATTTCTGCTCTGACAAGCTTGATTTCAGTCCACAAAAGGGAGAAAGGGAGGAAGAAGAATTGCTTTTGCTCAGTGGATCCCCTCTTATGGGATTTGTCATAATGTCATGTTACACTTTCCTCTGTGTAACCGAGAAAAGAGAAAGAAAGAATTCGCTCAAAATACAATCAATGAGGCCTGGAGGGACTGCCACCCATCAGGGGAGCAGCCCCGATCCAAAATCAGCCTTTCTTTTTATTGACAAGACAAGGAAGTTTTACAAGAAACTTCCAGTGGATTCAATCATCAAAGTAGGACATAAGGACATGGCCAGTGTGACAAAAGTTGTCCATGGCTAAGTATAGCTTAACAATGGAAACTAGTAACATCAGTAAATTAAAGTGACATTCCAAAGTACAATTAGTAAAGAACTATTAATTGTCAAACTGGCTCATTATCTAAAGTATGACCTCTCCTTAAACAAAAGTTACACTTTAATGATAAAATCTAAATACAATTATCTCTAAAGTTTCCCCCAACAGACAGTTTGCCCCTAGAAAACATTTTTTCCACAACTTTTCCTTCAGCAATTCTTAAAATCTCTTAACAGAACCGGTATGACAACTACCTGTCATCTCTAAAATAATTAAAGTATACAGTCCTGTACCTTACCAGTGATTAAGAGTTGATTAGATGGGCTTTGGCCTCACTATCTATGGGCTGTAGCCCCCTGTCCGAGGGCTTTTGCCCCATACATGCATTTACCTAAAAACCTTATTCTAAAATCAAATGAGAATCATGATTTCTAACCCACTACAATGTCACATTTCTTTTCTGTGTGTGAATGCCAGTGCACAGCTGGCCCTATCCAGGAAATACGATTTTGGAAAGGCCACTGGACCTTTCCCAGTATTGTAAATACCAGTGAGATTGGGTTAGGCCACTTGTACACCAAGCAAGGGCCCAGGGCCATCAGCTCAGCCCCCCCTACTCCCCGCAGCTCCAGTGGGCTTTCAGCATCTGTGCCCTCCTGGCAGAGCTCTCGGCTGGGCCCCAGGGCAGACAAGACCAGACAAACAGCACCCACACCCAGGCTTCTCCTGCTTTAGTTGCAAAGGCACTGTATCAGCCCGTTTTGTGTTGCTATAACAGAAATGCCTGAGACTGGGTAATTTATAAAGAACAGAGGTTTATTTGGCTTACAATTCTGGGACAGCTGCATCTGGCATGGACCTCAGGCTGCTTCTACTCATGGGGGAAAGCAGCAGGCAGCTGGCAGGTACAAGCAGATCACATGGTGAGAGGAAGCAAGAGAAGAGAGGAGGTGCCAAGGTCCTATAAACAACAAGCTCTGGTGGAAACTAATAGAGCAAGAACTCACTCATTACTCCCCCAACCTAGGGAGAGCATTAATCCATTCATGAGGGATCCGCCCCCATGACTCAATCGGTTTCCAACACTGCCACACTGGAGATCAGATTTCCACATGAGTTTTGGAGGGGACAACACATCCAAACG